AGCATTTGCTATAGTTAGTTGGACTGCTAGCAACTCAAATGGCCTTGGAATTGAAATTGAGTGAAGGACAGAGCACTGTAGTTTCTCAGCAGTGTATATTGCAACACCACCAGCTCTGCCCTTACGATCCGCTCTGAATACATTATATCCATCAATCTGAATAACAGTGTCAGTGACAGAGGGTTTGAACCAGGTTTCAGAAACTACAACAATATCAGGCTTAGCAACTAAAAACCAGATCTTGAAAACATCTAATTTGGGCACTAGGCTTCTAGCACTAACATGCAGAAAACCCAATCCTTACCTACAGCTAAACTCATTCGGAGTTGGCAAATGATGCAAGGAAGTAGAGAAACACTCAGGACCAGGGTTAATGTTAACGTTACCAGAGAGTAATAGCAGTAACAATATTAACAGTCTGGAAGATGATGTTTTCACATGGGCTCTGGACGCGTCACTCCTCAGAGGGGCGGGGCTGCTCCGATCCTTCGATATTAGCGAGTCCAGAGTCAAAAGGGCATACGGGAGAGCGCATTTCGTGCCATGAAACGTCAGCTTTTGGTAAAAACTATCCGATGGAGTCAGCGCTCCAGAGGTTCCACCATCCGAATGTCCGAAGTGAACAGAGGCATCGCTGGGAGGCAATCCGTCAGTTTTGCCGACATGCGGGCTGACAATTAATCCCAGGAAAAAAGCGAACACAAGGGTAGCTTTAGGCAACATTGAGCTGCAACACACCCAGTTCAGGATCCGCAGCTCAGGTCCCAGCAGCTCAGGTCCCAGCAGCTCAGGTCCCAGCAGCTCAGGTCCCAGCAGCTCAGGTCCCAGCAGCTCAGGTCGATCAGCAGCTCAGGTCGACCAGCCCCCGACAGCACGGCAGGACAGACAGCAATCCAGACTCCGAAAGAGCGACAGCTCAGGCAGAAAGCAAACAATCCAGTCACAGCGAGGCACCGGCACAAAACGACGCAAAACAGCCCAAAAACTTTAAAAAGCTTTTAAAAGCTTTTTAAAAGCGAATCAAGCCCGGATAACACTTGTTCGTTCAGCCAACCGGTACGCCTCCTCTGCCAACCGCCGACGTTCCAAGGCACCCGTCTACCAGGTGGGCCAAAAGGTATGGCTGTCCACCCAGGATATTCCTTTACGGGTGGAGTCGAAAAAGCTTGCACCGAGGTTCATTGGACCGTTTGAGATTATAAGGATAATCAATCCCGCAGCAGTAAGGCTAAGACTGCCTCGGACTCTGCGGGTCCATCCCACCTTTCACGTTTCCAGGATCAAACCTGTCCGAGAGAGTGCACTGGTTCCTGCGGTCCCTCCTCTACCACCCCCCCGGATGATTGACGGCGGACCTACATACACTTTCAATCGACTGCTTCGTTCCCGTCGCAGATGGAGAGGAGTCCAGTACCTGGTAGACTGGGAGGGTTACGGCCCTGAGGAGAGGTCTTGGGTTCCAGCCCGTCATGTGCTGATCCCCCGGCTCATCAGAGAGTTCCATCAGCGCAACCCCGAGCAACCTTCTAAGACCATCACAACGACGGGCAGAGACACGGGGAGAGTCTCTCCACATACTGTCAGCTCTTCCGAGGAGGACAGCGAGGGACCTGCTTCTGATGAGGACGCCGATTCCCACAGGGGGCAGGAGAAGGAGGCCGAAATAACTTTTTCAGATGAGTACTAACCCCACCTCCCACCCTCCTCTGTAGATTAGCGTTTAGGGACGCCAGGAGCCATCCATTAAGGGGGGGGTTCTGTCACAGTCTGCTCCATCATTCACCAGTAGTTTTCCATTCACCTGTCTCACCTGTTAACCACACACATATAATGGTTTTTCACTTTCAATAAGCATGAACAATTTGTATTGATCATCACATTTACCTTATTTCATTTCAAAAGAAACTGCAACTACTGAGCACATATTGTTTATCCTGTCTTTTATTTTTTAACAATATGATTTGTTGATTACAGTGTACTCTAACTTATTCTGTATATCTTATTGTGTGTCTACCATAGGAACTCTGGAGTTATGTATATTGTTGATGTTTATATGCATATAGTTATCTCTTTTTTAACCTGTTAAGCCCGAGAGACCCCGGTACCGGGGCACTGCCGCAACATCTTGCAGGAAACAGTGTCTGAGGGCATGTTCATTTAATAAACTATGAATGTTTTATATCCATGTAACGGGAAGAAACTCATCTAACTGATCATTTTTATTATTTTTTCAAAATAAAACCCACAATGCTAACGCTGAGCCTCTGAATTAGCAACGAGCGAAAAATGCTAACACCTTACTGCACCGAAAATCACTCACAAAACCTTATTATTTATCTCTTCTGCACATCCAACACATCGTTTCACATCGTGAGGTGACACAGATGTCAGAGCTAGAGTATAGGTTCGCTCTGATGCAAAACTGCATGCGCGAAGCCCCCACTTTTTTTTTTTTACCATGTGTGTGAGTGGGGAGATTCCCCTTCGATTCTATTGGCTCTAACGGTCAGAAAGAGGTGTCAACCACCAAAATCGACCAATGGGTTCCAGAGAAACGGTAAAACCCCCATTTTCACCCAAATCACCTCAGAGGTGGTTTCTTTTGGCTAAATCTCTCTAAAAAGGTCAAATGTCACTTGTTTTTTAAAGCTCAATAAATAACAAAGAAGACCTTTGACCGGCACTTTTATCATTTTGTCCGGAAGATTTAAACTTTAACGGACATCTTGACCGGCGAAAGAAACTGAAACTGAAACTCTGCCGCACGGTCCCCTCGTTCCTTGGAAGAGGCGGAGAGGTGGGTGTTTGTCATCTGCTGGTGGACTAACCGGAGAGAATTACAGTGCTTGCCTCGACGGGGAGGGATTGCATTGAATTAAAGCAGCAGGAGCAAACGCTTGCCTCGGGGAGGGAGAAAGAAAGCCACAGCGGAGAATAAACAGAAGGGTAACCATGGTAACTATGGGCGGGAAGTCTTCTTCGCTGCTTTTGTGGCAGACTACTGCGCCACTTACAGGCCTGGCATATGTACTACAGCGTCTCCAGCGCTTTCGAGCGGCAATGGCCGGCCGTGGCCCAACCGCACATTCCCCTGATAGGTGGAGAGTTGGTCCAATAGCCGTAGCGCCACCGTCCTGACGTCAGGACAGTGTTCAAATCTGGATCAGTTTTTATCAGATCCGTTGCAGCCCCTTTTTTAGAGATTTGGGTATGGAGGAAAATAGAGAGGGTTGTGTTTTCTGACACTTGGTGAGTTCCCTGGAACACCGGGGACACATATTCATGTTGAAAAGACGTACAAAAGTGCATTTTGCATGATAGGTCCCCTTTAATTTAACCCTTTTAGAAGGGAAGATATGGTCATTTGTTCTGGGAATGTCATTTTCGAGCCTGAAACCTGAAAAACAGGCTCAGGGCTAAACAGGTTAATAACAGTTTCAACTTTGGTGCAATGCCTTGTTTATTACTTGTTTCTGCAGCTGCAACTAAGTATATAAATACATCTAATCTCATCTAAATACACCTTCAATAATAAAGAGCAGATAGAATGAAACTTAAAAAGGCTAATATTGATTAAGACAGATATAAAAAGCAAGAATACGAGTTACAATTCAGCGTTCGATATGAAAAAGTATTTTATTTCTGCTTCCACCTGATTCAACGGAGGTGAAAGGACTTCCATTTGCATTTAACAGAACACCAACAATGAAACACATGAGCCCGTACTACAGTTTCAAAAAGCAGGAATAATCCTAAAATTCCATCTTAACTCTGAACTATTTTATTTTGTTCACATTATATATGCTTATAATTTAAGTTAGGCAATATTATAAGGAGTCACTCTGTACATTTTCATTGTTATGCGGATGATACTCAACTATATTTATCCATCAAGCCTGATGAAACCGATCATCTAAATAAAATTCAAGACTGCCTCAAGGACTTAAAAACATGGATGACTTTAAACTTTTTGATGTTAAACACGGCCAAAACTGAAGATATTGTACTCGGCCCAAAGAATCTACGATACAAATTATCTAAAGATATACTAACTATGGATGGCATTAATTTGGCCTCCAGTGAGACTGTAAGGAACCTTGGTGTTATATTTGATCAGGATGTATCTTTTAACGCCCACATAAAATCAATCTCTAGGACCGCCTTCTTTCATCTACGCAACATCAAGGTTCTTTATTGTCAAACTAACATAGCTACAGAGTAATTATGTAGTTGAAAATCTTATGTCACAGGCTTCTCCAACAATGCAACATAATAACATAATAACAATAAGAGCAAGAGCAATACAAAAAGAATAATAGTTATAAAATAAAATAAAGTTATGATGTGGAATAGTGCAGTACGAGTCTATATACAAGTTATTGGAATGATATATATATATATATTAGGTATTGGATACATATTACTGAGTAGCAGATGAATGTTTTGAAGTTGTTTCAACAGTTCAATTTTTTAACAGTCTCACTGCCCGCGGGAAGAAACTGTCTCCGAATCTTCTTGTCCTTGCCAGGATGCTGCGGTAACGTCTGCCAGACGGCAACAGAAAGAACAGTTTGTGGCTGGGGTGATGGGGTCTTTGATAATCCGTAGTGATTTCTTCCTGAGCCGCTGGGAGTAAAGGTCCTCCATGGATGGCAGCTCCGTCCTGGTGATGTGCTGTGCAGTTTTCACCACCCTCTGTAAAGCCTTATGATCGAGGTCGGTGCAGCTGCCGTACCAGGACGTGATGCAGCCAGTCAGGATGCTCTCTATGGTGCACCTGTAGAAGGTCAGGATCCTCTCTATGGTGCACCTGTAGAAGGTCAGGATACTCTCTATGGTGCACCTGTAGAAGGTCAGGATGCTCTCTATGGTGCACCTGTAGAAGGTCAGTATGCTCTCTATGGAGCACCTGTACACAGCAAATTCGCCAGTGTGAAAATCCTGGTGTTAGAGCTTTTCGGGGTAAAGTGTTGTGGTTTTGGTGTTACATTTAACATGATTAACACCGCCTGTTGTTAAAACACTATATAGTACAGGGTTGGATCATGGTGTTAAACATATTTAACGACGGATAGTGTGTTCTCTCAATCCGGGTACTTTTACGTGATGTGCGTGAAATTATTTAGATCTCCGCCATCTTTTTGATGCAACCATCAGTCTTGAGAGACCGCAGTCCGTGACGGTAAGTTATCGCTAAGTTTCATAATTTGTTCCCCAGATAGCTTACATTGATTTTGCTTGAAAATACAGTTGTGTGTGTGGTAGGTAGCGTAATTGTAAATGTATTGTTTTTATTACTAGCTTGCTAATTACTACTATTTGACTGTCATGACCAGGTGCAGGTGCACAGACCATACAGTCAATGCTTGCTTGCTAAACTAACTGTCGAATTAGATATGTATGTCGAATTAACGTTAGATATGTAACAGAAAATGTAATCATTACGAAGACCAATATATTGCACATGTCTATCGTTAGTTCGACAGCGAGCTAACAAGCTCTAGTGTTCGTAAAAAAGTTGTTCGATAATTGCCGCCTTTTCCTTTTCTAGCATGTTCTCCGTCAAGTCTCCGTCTAACGGAAGCAGTCCGTCTTGCAGCAAGTGTGATCGCTTGGCCTCGCCCTCGACAGACTGCAGTCAGTGAGTGACGGTAAGTTATCTAGATAACGTTACATTTAATTTGTTCCCCTGTTATCTAACATTACTTAATTTGAAAATAACGTTACAGTTGTGTAGTTGCTAATAATGTTTACTAGCTTGCTAAGAATATTTGTCTGTACTGGCCGTGCACCTGCTTGCTAAACGTTAGCTAGCTGGCTAGTTGGCTAGCCGGTTAGTTAGTTAGTTAGCTAGCTGGCTAGCTGTCAAATTAGATAACATTAGCTATGTTACATACTATTATGTCATTACAAACACCAACGTATTGCACATGTCTAACGATAGTTCGACAGCTAGCTAGCTAAGAGGTTCTGGTGTCGGTCCATATTGGTATAGTTAGCCGACTTCGCGAACAACCTTTTTTTTTCCTATTTCCTTTCACTAGCACTATCTCAGTGTCACCTAAGCAGCCATCAGTCCCCGCAGGTTTCGACCGTGTGGTCTCAACAGACCGCGTGACTGTAAGTTATCTACGTTTCATTGAATTTGTTCCCCAAGTGAAATAATTTATGTGTATGTACAGTAATAAAGTTGTTGGCTAATTGGCTCCTTTTCCTTTCTAGCACGTGTTCTTCTGCTCCGTGCGGAAGCAGCCTTCTTGTGTGGCCTCGACAACGACTGCATGCAGTGAGTTTTTCTTGTCACACAGAACGATTTTTTTCTCTCTTGGAAGACCAGAAGCTGTGTGGTTCATAAACACATTTTCTTACTCAATATCTTACCCTTAGCCTAACCCTTTTATTTTAAATAGTATAATGTCGGAGAAAAAGAAATGGCTCAGAATACTGAAATCTTTTTTTCCTTCTAATTTGTTATTATTTGGTGCAGGCACGAAACATACTACCAATAGAAATACATTGCTTCTAAAATCGTTCTGTGTCAGAATACTGAAATCTGTATTATATTTTTTTAAATCTCTTTTTCCTTCTAATTTGTTATTATTTACATTGCTTTTAAAATCGTTCTGTGTGACACGGAAAAAATGGGGAAATCGTGTTGGTGAACACAAATCAATAGATTACTTTTTTGACTATAACACGAAATGACACTGGGTTGCAACACACCAACACTGTGCATAATTTGTTCCCGAAACGTATGTCATGCACAGATAGAAGCCTCTCAGCTTAAAGATACAAAAATAAAAGAACAGAGCATAAAGTAGAATTTATTTATCTAAAGACGGTTCCAATTTATATTATGCCACCCTTACACAATTTGAGTATTTGCTTGCTTAAGAAGGGGAAGTTGTGATGCATCATGTGAAAAATCTAATAACTTGTGGAATAACAAATGTTGTATCTCCATTTTACCCATATAGGGCTCTTGCTCTTCTCTTCAGCTGAAGATGATAGTCAAAGTGCAATACCGAAACCAAAAGAAGTACATCAAAATTCCAGAAGCTTGTTTTGGCATCTTCATCACTGAAGGCAAGTATATGAACTGCATATGAATCAGAATACCTTTATTAGTCCCACAGAGGGGAATTTTGCGATCCACCCTCATTAACCTACTGTTACATTAGATGGACATGATGCACTATTGAGGCAGTTCCCCCCCCCCCCCCCTGTGTGTGTGTGTGTGTGTGGGTGGTTTAAGCTTATATTTGGTCTTCAATCCTTTTAGTAAAAGAGAGGTTTTCCATCCCTGTGGACAACATCTTATCAGTGGAGGATGACACTGGCACAGAAGTGGACGACTACGCATTTCCAGATCTACTGACTACCAGTGGAATATGCTTTGTCATCAAAGATGAACTGAATGACAGTGGTGGTGAGTGACGACAATAGACCCTTTTCTCAGCAGCTATTTTGACGTCATAGCAGGGTAAACACAGGTGTAATAGATCAAATTAATTATGGCCCCGATCTATTTAGTGTGTCACAGCCAATCCAGTGAGACAGCATATTATCAGGGCCCTGGCCTGCCTACATCCTAAATTACATCTCTGTTTACGCAGCATGTCAACATGGCTGCTGAGAAAAGGGTCTATTTTACATTTCTCAATTGTATTGTATGCTGATTATCCCCATGCAAGTGTCAAGCACACCACACATTTCATTGCTATAAACAATACTATCTTAAAAGGTAAAGTATTGTTTATAGGAATCAAATGTGTGGTGTGATTGACACGTGCATGGGTAAAGGCATACTCAACTGATTTAGTGAAAATACATAATTTTGTACTTACTTGGGGGTCTTGTTGAAAGCCTTGTTGTTAAGCTTTTGCTAGACTAAAAACCACCATTGCTGTCTAAGTATTGGTCCCAAGTAGAGTGCGCTCTTGTGGACAACGACTTTGGGACTCATACTTGCGATGGAGGTTTTCAGTGGGTTTGTTGTCTTTTTGAGAACACTTCACCAGTAGATTACATAAAGACATGACAAAGGAAGACCATATAATTTCAATATTCATATTTAATATCTCTTGTGTGATGACATTATTTTCCAGAGCCATCCTCATCCTCCGCTTCAGGCACAGATACTCTTTCAGTCACTTCGAAAAGCAGCAGTGAGAACGATTTCTACAGTGGCACTCTGAAACGCTTCAGAAAAGAGGAGGAGGCTTTGCAGGGTCCACAAGCCAAAAATGTGAGTACATTTTAGTGACGTCTGTCCATCCGTGTGTCTGTACCAGTAGATTGCTCATAAACCTATACTGCTTACTTAACGGGTGTCATTTTTGTTGTGTTTTGTTTTAAGCTGATAAAACAGGTTCTGCTGACCAAACCAGGAGGAAGTGATGTGCTGAAGGAGTATGAGGAAAAAGGAACAATTAGTCCTGCCACAAGAAAAGTGATGGTGAACATTCTAGTTGCAGACATGGTGCAGAGTGAGGGGTAAGATTCAAATTTGTTATAGCTTTGCATGAAAGTGTCATGTATGTATAGGTTAAGTGTGGATGAAGTTGGTGCAATTGTATTTCTACATAAATTGAGTTCATTAAGTTTATATGTTCTAAAACGAAGTCTCAGTGGCGTTTTATTTTTCAGAGGAAAATACTCTGAGCATGCGCAGTGTAGTTTTTACAGTCACCGTAGACAGTGAGAGGGAGGGGCATGATCGGGTTTCGTCCCACATGGCTCAAAACGGCTCAATAGGCACACTGTAGACACTAATTAGAAGAACACAGACTAAAACAGCAATGTACAGACGAATCATGATTAAACATGATCTTAAAATATATTTTATTTTTTTGTAATCATTATTTTTAATACTTTCTGCTGACACTAGGTGGGGGTGTCCCTAATGACCAGTCGCCACTGCTCTTAGACTTAAATGAATGAAATGTTGAAAATGACTTTTTGCTCTACAGGAGAATCCCTCAGCGACTGACCAAAGAGAAGTATGCACTGGGGATTGTTACCCTGTTTCCCTCGCTCCAAGATCCACATGGGAAGACAGGATATGTGAGTTATTCTTGATTATGATCAAAGTAGACTGTTTTAGATGGCTTACATGGTTCCTTGAATGCTGTGGGATTTATACTGTAGGGTAGTTTAATTCATTTGGGCGGCTGTGGCTCAGGAGGTAGAGCGGATAGTCCAATGACTGCGAGGTTGGTGGTTCAAATCCCGGCTCCTCCTGTCCACATGTCAAAGTGTCCTTAGGCAAGTGTAAGACACAGAACCCCGATTTGCTCCCAATGAGCAGGCCTGCACCTTGCATGGCAGCTGCCGCCATTGGATAAAATTGACAATTCACCCATTGACACAAACATTCACATAACCAAAGCGCTATATACAGTAAGTGCAGTCCATGTACCATTCCTCTTATTTCCTTTTTGGTCAGGAGCATTTTTATGACGGGCAGAAAGGCGGTGGGTTTCTAGCGTGGCGACTGAAGTCCGTTCAGAGAGCAACACGACTTCCTGTGAGGTCCAAGGATTCCAGAATAGAAGAGAATGGAGGCCCCATGCTAAGGAGAGAGATAGGCCACTGTGATGATCATCCAGATGAGCAGAGATTTCAAGAGCTCATATCTGTGATGAATCATACAAACGACAGAGAAGTCATCATGAAGAAGATGAGAGACACACTGGAATATAGACAGCGCCTTGTCCACGATCCTGACAGATCCTCCACTGTCCTTTCAGTATTCCCGCGCCTGCTGGACACTAAAGGATTGGTAATATTTTATTTGTTGCTTATGAATGTTATTTATTAGTAAATCTATTTTGATAGACGTTTTAAGCAACCTTCAGTTAAATGGAGATGATCTACACCTGTGAAATTGGCATTAGTAGTAAATTGAAAACCTGATGGTGGTTCTTGCGTTTGTGCTGTATACGTGTTTTAGATTCTCCAAGACTTCAGTCTCCTCTTTGGGTCAGAAACTCCATCCAAACTACTGGAAAAGTGGCCAACCTCCTTCAAAGCAAAGATCATCCAACAGGCAGAAATGCTGACTTCCACACCCTTGCTGAAGCGCTTGTTGTTGTCTGCCAAGAACCAAAGGGGTGATGAACCATCACTGGAATCACCAGGTATGGTTTTAGGAACTGCATTGTCATATCATGTCATATTGCCTATTGTAAATTGTCTATGTGAGGCTGGAGGGAGTGTATGACCACACAGTTGGAGAATTTTTTTATACAGTCTATGGTTGCTACAAAGGATTGTGGGTAATGTCCGTCAAACTTCCGGGTTCCTCCATGGGACGTTATTTCGGAAAAAGTATGCATTGAAGTCAATGGAGAGAGAAAGATTATCTTTCGATCCCGTTTGAATTGTGCCACGAATTACACATATGATGTTTGTCAATCTTAAATAATAATTTCCATGTCAAAAAAAGTCAAAGTTTGTCGTAAAACTGTTGAAATATAAGACTATGAAATGTGTGTGTGTATGTACAGCTCTCAACATGCCCAGACTTGTAGTGATTTTCGCCTCTTTTAATACTTTTAATACCACATTACATCACACGTTTGATGCGCGCCCGTGATTGAAAATCTCTTTATTTAAAACAAAAACAAGGACAATAAACAAAGCAGTCTTCACAACGGCCGGACAAAATACTTTGAGCCGCCCTATAGCCAAAGCCCGAAACACTGTTTAAAGCATAATAAAGACAATATATAGAGCATAATGGAAAATAACGTATCTATGCCACAATTTTAGATGCCGGGTAGCAATAAAGATAACGCCATTAAACCGTTACACAACATAACAGACATAATATCGATAGCAGCGTCCCTAGCAACCACCTTGGTAACAATGAAAACGTTGTATTTACACAATTTCCTGAAGTATTCTTCGTAATAACTAGCAAACCAAAGATCATGTACATCCACTGCACACATAATCTGAAATAACAACTCATATTTCTCGCATCAAATGACATCAAAACGCATTTTAATGGCCAAACTAACCTTAAAATAGGCATTTTCTACCGAGAATAAAACGAAGGTCGGCCATGTTTTTTTATTTCTGCGGAGAGAAAGTTGAAGATCACGTGACATAGACGCCAGCCATTGAAAATGAATCGTGGAAAAAAAACACGTAGGGATCCTACAATTTCAGAGGCGTTTTTGTAGAAATACTACGTCCCAAGTTGTGGACCAACGTAGTTATTACACGTTTAGATGTGAGACTGGGTTGTCTTTTCTTACAGAGTGGGACAGTGATATGGCATCCATTCTCCTCCTTCTGCACCTCCTGTCACCCCAGCCTGCGGGAAGGAAGAAAACCCAGAAGATCAGTGTAGCTCAGGCCATTGACCATCTGGTCGTATTTCACAAGGTATGTGGCAGGTTTAAGAATGTTAGATCTAACCACCAGAACTACTACAGAGAGCTGTCACTATGATAAAGTAGGACTAGGCTAGTGCAAATATAAACTATTCCTAAAAACACACTTGCATATTACACACACATGCGCATAGTTAGCCATGTAAAATGAAAATGTTGCTTGCCTTGTCCTTCAGTCCTGTAGGAGTCTGGATGAGCACCTTCAGAGCCATATGGACACGAGCCAGCCATATCTTCTTGCTTCAGGGACCAGCAAGGAGGCCATCGGCAACTTCTTCATTCTGATCGACAAGAAGCTCATCCCCTGTGAGGCTACCACTTCCTTAGCAGCAATTGATGAACTTTTTAAGCTTCACTTTGTCTTAGGGACTAGCTATGATCCAGCACTCAAAAGCATGTACACATTTCTGCAAACAACTGTCTATAACATAGACGTTGACACCACCAGTGAGAGCCCCAAGGTCAAGGAACTGGGAACTAAGTTTGTGAGTAATGTATAAGTGTTACATTTGCAGATTATTGCTTGATACGCCTGGATCCTTAACTCGGCACCTTAAGCTTGTTCATGGCTTGTCTTAGACAGCTATGTGCTGTAATTTTTATTTATCCCTCCACCCCATGGGTGTGTGAGGTCCAAAAAGGTTGTTTGTTGCCTGGCACGGCAGGCAACAAACAACCTTTTTGGACCTCCACTGCCATAGAGGGTTATTTTTTATTTGTTGAATTGCATATTGTGAGAATTTGTGCATTGGGAGAATTTGTCAGTCTTAAGAGACATGCCACCATTCAAATAAAGCACTTGTCATATATGTTATCTGGAATGATTTATTGGTCATTGTAACTTTTAACACCAGTTTGTTGTACATCATAATACCAATACACTACATTGACACTAGATTAGTGTTCATTTTGAACTCCCAGAGGGTTGAGGCTAATGCAAAATGCAACACCAGTATAATGTGCATTCAACACTAGTTCAGTGTACATTTCTAACTCTTAAAGGTGTTAGATGGGAGAAGATGTATCACTACTGTAGTGTTACTCTACACCGGGACAGTGTTAAATTGCAACACTATTAGTGTACATGTTTAACTCTAAAAGGTGTTAGATGGGAGAAGATGTATCACTACTGTAGTCTTACTCTACACCAGAACAGTGTTAAATTGAAGATGCAGCCAACACTGTTAGTGTTGTTATCGGTGTTGGTGTTCAGTGTTGGTGTTCACATCTTACACTCTTAGTGTTGGTATAGTAACACTGTGATAGTGTTATATTGTCAACACTTTGGAAAGTGTTAATTTAACACTTTGCTGGTGGTTTCAATATAAACTCTTTTATAGTGTTAAAATTAACTACATGGGTGTTGAATTTTTGATTTCAAATTTGCTGTGTAGAAGGTCAGGATACTCTCTATGGAGCACCTGTAGAAGGTCAGGATACTCTCTATGGTGCACCTGTAGGAGGTCAGGATCCTCTCTATGGTGCACCTGTAGAAGGTCAGGATGCTCTCTATGGAGCACCTGTAGAAGGTCAGGATACTCTCTATGGTGCACCTGTAGGAGGTCAGGATCCTCTCTATGGTGCACCTGTAGAAGGTCAGGATCCTCTCTATGGTGCACCTGTAGAAGGTCAGGATGCTCTCTATGGTGCACCTGTAGAAGGTCAGGATGCTCTCTATGGTGCACCTGTAGAAGGTCAGGATCCTCTCTATGGTGCACCTGTAGAAGGTCAGGATGCTCTCTATGGTGCACCTGTAGAAGGTCAGGATGCTCTCTATGGTGCACCTGTAGAAGGTCAGGATCCTCTCTATGGTGCACCTGTAGAAGGTCAGGATGCTCTCTATGGTGCACCTGTAGAAGGTCAGGATACTCTCTATGGTGCACCTGTAGAAGGTCAGGATACTCTCTATGGTGCACCTGTAGAAGGTCAGGATGCTCTCTATGGTGCACCTGTAGAAGGTCAGGATCCTCTCTATGGTGCACCTGTCGAAGGTCAGGATGCTCTCTATGGTGCACCTGTAGAAGGTCAGGATGCTCTCTATGGTGCACCTGTAGAAGGTCAGGATCCTCTCTATGGAGCACCTGTAGAAGGTCAGGATGCTCTCTATGGTGCACCTGTAGAAGGTCAGGATCCTCTCTATGGTGCACCTGTAGAAGGTCAGGATACTCTCTATGGTGCACCTGTAGAAGGTCAGGATGCTCTCTATGGTGCACCTGTAGAAGTTGCAGAGTATCCTGGAATCCATTTTGAACCTTCTCAACCTGCGGAGGAAGAAGAGCCGCTGTCGAGCTTTCTTGGTGATGGTGGTGGTGTGAAGAGTCATGTCAGGTCCTCAGTGATGTGGACCCCAAGGAACCTGAAGCTTTTGACTCTCTCCACCGTAGTCCCATTGATGGTGATGGGGGCGTGTCCCTCTCCCTGCTGCTTCCTGTAATCCACAATCAGCTCCTTTGTTTTGCTGACGTTGAGATGGAGGTTGTTATCCTGGCACCAAGATGTCAGGTTTTTGACCTCCTCTCTGTACGCAACATTGCAAAAATATGGCATATCTTGCCTCAAAACGATGCAGAGAAACTAGTCCATGCATTTGTTACTTCAAGGCTGGATTATTGTAACTCTTTATTATCAGGGTGTACCAAGAAGTCAGTGAAGTCTCTTCAGCTGATTCAAAATGCTGCAGCTCGTGTACTAACCAGAGTTAGGAAAAGGGACCACATTACTCCTGTTCTGGCTGCCTTACACTGGCTCCCTAGAGAACACAGGATAGCATTTACAATTCTTCTTCTCGCCTACAAAGCCCTTAATGGGCAGGCGCCATCTTACCTTAAAGAACTCATTGTACCCTACTGTCCTACTAGGGCATTGCGTTCCTAGAATGCAGGGTTGTTGGTTGTTCCTAGAGTCTCTAAAAGTACAATGGGAGCCAGAGCCTTTTCTTATCAAGCTCCACTTTTGTGGAATCAGCTTCCAGTTTGTGTTCGGGCGGCAGACAGCCTATCTGTTTTTAAGAGTGCGCTTAAGACCTTCCTTTTTGATAAAGCTTATAGTTAGGGCTGATTAGATTCAGCCCCTAGTTTAGCTGCTATAGGCTTAGACTGTCGGGGGACACCTTACTTCTTCCTTCTCTCTGTCTGTACCTGTGTACTCTCATGTTCCCAATAACCCAGCTTCGCCACATTTCTTTTTGGTGTCTATCTACGCTGGGATCCTGAGTCCTGATCTGAGTCCTGATCTGAGTCCTGGACTTCGGGTCGTGGCTGAACCTGTCACTGTGGTCCTGCCTGACTCTCATCATACTACTTCCCTGATGGCTCCCACAGGATTGTTGACATCCTCGTGGATTCATCTTCTTATTATAGACACATGCATTTCCAAACATGTGGACTACCTATGTTGTAAATGTATTATCTTTTCGATTTACACACGGCATCTATTGCACGTCTGTCCGTCCTGGGAGAGGGATCCCTCCTCTGTTGCTCTCCCTGAGGTTTCTCCCATGTTCCTTTAAACTGTGGGGTTTCTCTGGAAGTGTTTCCTTGTACGATGTGAGGGTCTAAGGACAGAGGGTCTAAGGACAGAGGGTCTAAGGACAGAGGGGGTCGTATTGTCATACTGATATTCTGTACAAACTGTGAAGTCCACTGAGACAAATGTAACCTTTGTGATATTGGGCTATATAAATAAACATTGATTGAACTCTAAATGAGCTGATTGTAATCTGTAAACACAAACAATATGCAGGAATGTGAGTCTGTTTCAAAGGCTTTTTATTTTTAGTTTGGTTTGATGATATAAACAGAACAGAATCAAACTGGAAACATCGTAAATATTCTCTATATCAATAAGTCATTGGTTCTTCTTTTAGACCAGAACAGACTGATAACTCAACCGGAACTATCAAACACATCCCAATGGAAGTTTCAAGTCACAACATTTCATTAACCAAACAGATTATTAGAGAAACTACTCTGCAGATGAATCAGTCAGTGGTTATAGTATAAATCAGAAAAGTAGTATGACAAAAACATTGAACATATTCAAAACTTCTGTTGATAAAGATGGAGTTTATATGAAGTCATGTATGAATATTGTCACACAGACTTTATACAGTCAGACAGATTTTTCTCATCTGAATTGTCGTAGGACTAATTAAATGTCCTCTTTTTTTGTTGCACATGCAGATTTGACTTGGAAAATGTCAGGTTCAGAAGAGTCTCCAGGGTTGTCCTCAGTCTCTGGTTGTAAATGTCTCTCTGGATCTGAGTTCCTGGCTGGTTCTGGTCCTCCACAGTCCTCTCCATCAGCTTCTGTTTCCATGTGTTCAGCTGAGCTGCTGGCTGGAGGCTCTGCCTCTCTGTTCTCCTCAGTTTGAATTTGATGAAGCTGTGAGGACTGACGACCAACACACTTATGGCTTTTGACGGAACAACTCCGGGTGAATCTTTTGTCACAAACACTGCAGCTGAATGGTTTCTCTCCTGTGTGGATTCTCATGTGTCTCTTTAAATCTGCCGTATCTGTAAAATATTTCTCACAGACTGAGCAGCTGAACAGTTTCTCTCCAGTGTGGATTCTCATGTGTCTCTGTAAACTTCTTCTATCTGTAAAAGATTTCTTACAGACTGAGCAGCTGAATGGTTTCTCTCCAGTGTGGATTCTCATGTGTCTCTGTAAACTTCTTCTATCTGCAAAAGTTTTCTCACAAATTATGCAGCTGAATGGTTTCTCTCCTGTGTGTATTCTCATGTGTCGTTGGAAATGTGCTCTCTTTGGAAAGGATTTCTTACAGACTGAGCAGCTGAATGGTTTCTCTCCTGCACTACGTCTTGAATCACTGACATGGTCTTGTTTATTGCTCTGAGACTTTGAACCTGGTTCTCTGGTCTTCTTCCAATCAGCACTGTCTTCAGTGTCAGGTTCAGAAGAGTCTCCAGGGTTGTCCACAGTCTCTGGTTGTAAATGTCTCTCTGGATCTGAGTTCCTAGCTGGTTCTGGTCCTCCACAGTCCTCTCCATCAGCTTCTGTTTCCATGTGTTCAGCTGAGCTGCTGGCTGGAGGCTCTGCCTCTCTGTTCTCCTCAGTTTGAGTTTGATGAAGCTGTGAGGACTGACGACCAACACACTTATGGCTTTTGACCTGATGACTCCAGGTGAATATTTTTGTCACAAACACTGCAGCTGAATGGTTTCTCTCCTGTGTGGATTCTCATGTGTGCAATTAAATTGCAACGATCTGCAAAAGATTTCTCACAAATTATGCAGCTGAATGGTTTCTCTCCTGTGTGTATTCTCATGTGTCGTTGGAAATGTCCTCTCTTTGGAAAGGATTTCTTACAGACTGAGCAGCTGAATGGTCTCTCTCCTGCACTACGTCTTGAATCACTGACAGGGTCTTGTTTATTTCTCTGAGAGTTTGAAACTGGTTCTCTGGTCTCCTTCCAATCAGCACTGTCTTCAGTGTCTTCAGAAGAGTCTCCAGGGTTGTCCTCAGTCTCTGGTTGTAAATGTCTCTCTGGATCTGAGTTCCTGGCTGGTTCTGGTCCTCCACAGTCCTCTCCATCAGCTTCTGTTTCCATGTGTTCAGCTGAGCTGCTGGCTGGAGGCTCTGCCTCTCTGTTCTCCTCAGTTTGAGTTTGATGAAGCTGTGAGGACTGACGACCAACACACTTATGGGTTTTGACCGAACAACTCCGGGTGAATCTTTTGTCACAAACACTGCAGCTGAATGGTTTCTCTCCTGTGTGGATTCTCATGTGTCTCTTTAAATCTCCCGTATCTGTAAAATATTTCTCACAGACTGAGCAGCTGAACAGTTTCTCTCCAGTGTGGATTCTCATGTGTCTCTGTAAACTTCTTCTATCTGTAAAAGATTTCTTACAGACTGAGCAGCTGAATGGTTTCTCTCCTGTGTGGATTCTCATGTGTCGTTGGAAATGTGCTCTCTTTGGAAAGGATTTCTTACAGACTGAGCAGCTGAATGGTTTCTCTCCTGCACTACGTCTTGAATCACTGACATGGTCTTGTTTATTGCTCTGAGACTTTGAACCTGGTTCTCTGGTCTTCTTCCAATCAGCACTGTCTTCAGTGTCAGGTTCAGAAGAGTCTCCAGGGTTGTCCACAGTCTCTGGTTGTAAATGTCTCTCTGGATCTGAGTTCCTAGCTGGTTCTGGTCCTCCACAGTCCTCTCCATCAGCTTCTGTTTCCATGTGTTCAGCTGAGCTGCTGGCTGGAGGCTCTGGCTCTCTGTTCTCCTCAGTTTGAGTTTGATGAAGCTGTGAGGACTGACGACCAACACACTTATGGCTTTTGACCTGATGACTCCAGGTGAATATTTTGTCACAAACACTGCAGCTGAATGGTTTCTCTCCTGTGTGGATTCTCATGTGTGCAATTAAATTGCAACGATCTGCAAAAGATTTCTCACAAATTATGCAGCTGAATGGTTTCTCTCCTGTGTGTATTCTCATGTGTCGTTGGAAATGTCCTCTCTTTGGAAAGGATTTCTTACAGACTGAGCAGCTGAATGGTCTCTCTCCTGCACTACGTCTTGAATCACTGACAGGGTCTTGTTTATTTCTCTGAGACTTTGAACCTGGTTCTCTGGTCTCCTTCCAATCAGCACTGTCTTCAGTGTCTTCAGAAGAGTCTCCAGGGTTGTCCTCAGTCTCTGGTTGTAAATGTCTCTCTGGATCTGAGTTCCTGGCTGGTTCTGGTCCTCCACAGTCCTCTCCATCAGCTTCTGTTTCCAGGTGTTCAGTTTGTCTTTGATGAAGCTGAGAGGACTGAGGTTTCTCTTCATCATCTTCACTCTTCACAGGGACAGGAGTGAATGTGGACTTGGTGATATCAGCCTCCTCCAGCCCTTGAAGCTGCTCTCCCTCCTGACTGATCCAGAGTTCCTCCTGTTCCTCTTTAATGTGTGGGGGGGGGGCTCTGGGTCCTCCTGGTCCAGACTGGAGCTCCACTCCTGCTGCTCAGGGGGAACCTCTTCTTTAACCACCACCAGCTGCTGGACGTCTGCAGGAAACAGGAAACACATATTCAGAGAAACTCTAGAGTATTAGAATTTAAAATCTAACCACGAAGTTCCGCCCACTGTGTGTTTCTGTTGGCTCGATTGTCTGTCAATTACACCTTTTTTCCAGATGCCCTGGAGAGTTTCAGGACAACAGGTGAGTTAGTACGGTAGCTGGTCTAAAACGTAGTTTCACTGCCGCTTAGCAAGGCGTCGGCCGTTCACGGAGTGTGAGGCCTTAGCCTTACAGTTTGTGACCTGTCTGCAGAGTCGTTAGCTGAGAACTGGTGTTGGAGTTTCTCAGAGTAGTCGTTTAGCATCTCTCACCGCCTTGCTAAACCTGTACTTGGACTCATACAGGTGCATCTCAATAAATTGAATATCATGGAAAAGTGAGTTTATATCAGTAATTCAATTTATAAAGTTTAAACTTATACATTACATAGATTCATCACACACAAAGTGATTATTTCCAGCGTTTTAATCTTGATGATTGCAGCTTACAGCTAATGAAAAGACAAAACAAAGCATTGAATATTACATAAGACTAGGGTTCCAGATGAGAACCGAGTTTCGGCGCATGATGTCCATAGTTAACCGCAAATTAATCGCACATTTTCTATCTGCTCTAAATGTACCTTAGAGGGATATTTTTCAAGTTTTTAATACTCTTATCAACATATGAGTGGACAAATATGCTTTATATGTTTGTTTATTATCATTTGAACAATGACAAATATTCTCATGAATATTAAACACAACAACCTGGAACCTCTCTCATACAATACAAAGTGTGTGTGTGTGTGTGTGTGTGTGTGTGTGTGTGTGTGTGTGTGTGTGTGTGTGTGTGTGTGTGTGTGTGGTGCTGAGTGTGCTGACTTTTGGGGTTTGTTCAACTTTTAAAAGATGTTTGAATGGTGATATACACAGTGATAGATGTTAAGGACTAACGTTTATAATAAATACATTTGTATTGATTTGAAGATCTTTTCATACAGTCATACGTATTGGGATCATTTGTATTAATGTGGTCCGGAGGGAGAGGGTGACGAGCATAAGTTTCACTTTCCTTTTTTATTTCAATTCCAACTTTGGTCATGAAGAATATGTTTCTCTGTTGTCCCCGTTCATAAAGCATAACAGCATCAGAGCACGGTGCAGAGTCTCTAGATGAGTTTACAGTAGTCCCTCGTTCTTATTAAACATCCATGTTGTAGTCCGCTGTATAGAAAACTGTAGTTTCCATAGTTTCCCCACAGCAGTAGGCGCACATTCATGATGTCCGCTGGCGCATCATAAACACGTCGGATAGTGAACGTGCAGTCGATTCTCTAAAGTACCGCAGTCTCTTCTCCTAAGTCCTTTTGAATTCTCCTATCCACTATCCCTTAACCCTGTGACCTTTCACTCAGAGGTCAAGGAATAGACGATAGGGATAGAACTTAGGAGCTGATTTTTGGACTATTCGACCGCAACCCCGGTGGAATCGAGGGGTCAGTCTGTGCACCAAAGTCTAAACCACGGTCCTCCCAAACTAGTCTCAACCAATCATAAATGTACGGGCAACGCTGTTACCATTTAACTGGTGACGCGGGGGAACTCGTGACGTTCTATAAAATACATATACACATTTCGATCGCTTCTTCTGTCGTTTACATTAATCTTTTGGTATATTTGGCTGGATAGGAACACTTTGATGAACATTCAGTACCAGTGAGGTTGTGGTTGCGATGCCGATATCCGGACGCGTACAGCGAGGACTATAAAAAGACACATGAGCTGACTGGGGATGTGTGTTCAAACCATTGCGAGCTCCAATAAATCATTTAAACCAGTTATTTTTGCCAGACTTATTGCTGAATATCGTTCTTAATGTGATACCAAGTCCATCTGAGACCCGTGTACACCTTCAGACAGCCTCCAAGTGAAGCACACGTTGTTTACTCACAGTTTGAAAGCAGCGTGGAGAAGTCTTCAGCTGAGCTGTGATCCGCCCAGTTTAACTTGTGATACGACTTCTGTTCTGTGGCTATCAACCAGCAATCATGTTTAATATTAAAGACTACACACATGTATCCCTTATCAAAACGGTATTCTGCACTTTGCAGCACTTATCCAGATGAGATGTGACTGTTTACTTGGTTAACTTTCGTTATGCATCGATACAGCTATTATATGGCTTAAGTGTACATACATTCGCTCGCATTATAAATGATGGTTGGCTTGCATTTTTCTGAATCTTTTAACAATGTTAATGTGTAAAAATTCAGCTGTGATGAACAAATATGTCGTAATGATTCGTGGCTCACTCACAACGCGCAGGTCTAGAGTGATTTTTGCTGTTGGGACTCGGGTTTGAGTCCAGCATGAACTTTTTAGTTATTTTCATGTCGATGGACACTGAATTATATGTTTGAATAGAGGATTCATAATATTGTTTGCGGAGACCAAAATGAATGACCAAGCAGCATTTTACAGTCTAAATATCCCTACACATGCAGAATGACATTTCTGCTGCTGTCTTTGCAAAACGAGTAAACAGTCACATCTTATCTGGATAAGTGCTGCAAAGTGCAGAATACCGTTTTGATAAGGGATACATGTGTGTAGTCTTTAATATTAAACATGATTGCTGGTTGATAGCCACAGAACAGAAGTCGTATCACAAGTTAAACTGGGCGGATCACAGCTCAGCTGAAGACTTCTCCACGCTGCTTTCAAACTGTGAGTAAACAACGTGTGCTTCACTTGGAGGCTGTCTGAAGGTGTACACGGGTCTCAGATGGACTTGGTATCACATTAAGAACGATATTCAGCAATAAGTCTGGCAAAAATAACTGGTTTAAATGATTTATTCAAGCGTGCAATGGTTTGAACAGACATCCCCAGTCACCTCATTGTCATTTTGTAGTCCTCGCTGTACGCGTCCGGATATCGGCATCGCAACCACAACCTCACTGGTACTGAATGTGCATCAAAGTGTTCCTATCCAGCCAAATATACCAAAAGATTAATGTAAACGACAGAAGAAGCGATCGAAATGTGTATATGTATTTTATAGAACGTCACGAGTTCCCCCGCGTCACCAGTTAAACGGTAACAACGCCCTCTGTAATAAAATGTATTGACGCACGAGGTTCGAGGCTTTTTTACGGAAATAGTGGTTACAGATTACAGCTTTAAAAAGGGGACAGACCTGCTCTGTGGATCTGAAGCTGAGGCTGTAAAACAGCGTCCAGTAGTTTCCGGTGTCTCTCGTTCTCCTGTTTTGAACGAGACAGTTCCTCCTCGTACTCTGCTATCGTTCTTTCAAACAGAACAAAGATGTCTTCAGCAGCCGCAGTGAGTCGCTGCTTCACCAACGAGAGCAGCACAACACTCATGTTTACTAAATCACCACTTCCTGTTTCTCTCACTCTGTGTTGCTAGCGTGTTACCAGCTAGCATGCTAAGCTAGCTTCTAGAGTCCGAGCTAAAGGCTTCAGAAGAAAGAGCACAAAGTCAGAGGTTCATCCAGAGACACAGACGATGGATCAGCTGCTCACACAGACTGTCTCAGGAACACCGAGAGAGAACCATGGATGTAGCGAGAGAACCATGGATGTAGAGAGAGAACCATGGATGTAGAGAGAGAACCATGGATGAAGAGAGAGAACCGACGAGACGCGATCTGGTTCCAAGTTGGAAAGAGCGGGACCATCACTTCCGGTGCAGGGACTTCAAAATAAAAGCGGCTATGATTTCCCCTTAGACAATACCTAAACCTTTAAGATACACAGACATGGAGCTGCGGAGAGAACCCGGTTTATTTCTCCTGAAACACCTTTATCTATATTATAAGTATTCCCCCCTCTTCCTGTAATATAATATTTGTAAGAAGAGAAAGGTGAAGAGAGAAAACCGTGGGTTTTATTGTGAAGGCCAGCACCGGAAGTTGTGTTTCAGGCTCTCCGTTAGCATGTTAGCTGGGGGTACACAAGAAACCCTGGTTTCCGGTCGAATCGTCCAAAAATCAGCTCCTCTCGTCTTTTCCTAACCAAGACGAAAAGACGAGAGGAGCTGATTTTTGGACAGTTTGTCCACAGCCTAACTCTGCATGAGTTTTAAAAGTCTCTCTGACTCCTTACAGTCTCAACAAGTGTGTCTCTGTTAGCAAGGATAACCGCTAATGCATCATGGGGGTTGTAGTTTTTAATAAACTTTATAGAGATCATGGGGAAGTGTAGCGACCCTGCATAGGGTGCTGGGTGTGTCACTCAGGCGTCCCCCGTCTCTCTGCCAATCACAGAGCTGCACAGTAATGCTGGTCGGTGTGCGGGCCTGTGGTTGGGGGAGCAGAGGGGGGAGGGCTGGGGAGTCGTGACGTTGACCCTGCTGTGTGTGTGAGTTAGGGAGTGGAGTAGAGAGTAATGATAAACCTGTAACCTGTAACCTGAGCTGTATACTATAACCGTAAGCGAACAAAGGAGTTATTAAACCCAATCACTGGAAGCCTGTTTCCGACTCCCTTTTGTCGAACGTTACAGAAGAAACAAACAGTGCCATCAAGGGGCGGAGCTACAGCAACACATGGGGGCAATACAAGCTGGAACATTCCCAACCCGGTATCACGGCAAGACGTGAACATGTGACGATCTACCATGCTGGGAGACGTGAATATGTCACGGTTTCGTCCCTTCAAACGTGACAGAGGGTGTTTCTCAATCGCGAGTACGCTTGCTTGGTAGCACATGTCTGCCGAGCATTTTGCTTCAGAAGCGAGGCAAGAATACTTCCTGGCATTCGGAAAACGAAGAGTGGAACACGCTAGCAAGTGTGCAGGTGTCCGTCATATGAGAGGCCCCGCCTCTTACATCTTCCGTCACAGATTTGGGGAAATTGGTCTGTGCGCAAAGCATTGTGGGGATTTTAAGACCGTGGAGTCTACTCATGTGCAGCCTCGATATTTCTCCAAACGGAGTACTCCGGGCTCGGTAGATTTCCAAGTATGCTGGAGATTGGAACAGTACTTCGGCGGCACTCGATGACGTAGTATGCTTGAAATAGTGGCTCTGAAGCAGCTTTACTCGACATTGAGAAACACCCAGTTACACGGTATTGTTAACATGGCCCAACCAGTGGAGAAATACCCGGAAGTGCCAAGCAAATGGTCTACCGCGCCTATTGGTCGGTTTTTATTGTCAAAATTAGATGTTTTAAATTTATATTTTAATCGTCACACTCGATTTCGCCGATTTTCTTGTTGCCCTAGCTGGTCGACACCTCTTTTAGCAGAAAGAAAGGCTACATTAATGTATTAAATCGATGTTAATCAATGTGTGTGGAGGTGTGGATGTGGAATTAACGGACGTGACGTTGTGCGATTGCGTTGCCAGGCAACGCAATTTACAAACTCTTCAACTAAGGTTCATTGACATATCATATACACAACTAATTCAATAACGTGCTTTAACCACTAGGCGGTGCACACAAGGTACACACAGCCATAATAACTTTGTATTATTAGTGTAGGACACTTGTGTATGTATAACATCTGAAGATGTGTAGTTTTATTCATGTTTTCACATAATTGTACAGGATATTGCTATATTATTTCACATGTTTTACTTCACATCAACAGGAGTCCGGTTAACTAAAATGTCCGTGCGGAACAATACCCCCAACCCATAGATCCGTGGGTGAATAATGTCAATCACCACATTACACACATCCCTTCACATTTACATTTAATGTACATTAAAGTATTTCGTGAGGCCTTCTAAAATGTTTTAAAATATAATTAGGGTTGAAGTTGAAGTTGCCTGGCAACGCAATCGCACAACGTCACGTCCGTTATTTCCACATCCACACCTCCACACCATATACAGGGTGTTTTTCAATCGCGAGTACGCTTGCTTGGTAGCACATGTCTGCCGAGCATCTTGCTTCAGAAGCGAGGCAAGAATACTTCCTGGCATTCGGAAAACAAAGAGTGGAACAAGCTAGCAAGTGTGCATGTGTGCGTCATATGAGAGGCCCCGCCTTACATTTTCCGTCACAGATTTGGGGAAATTGGTCCGTGCGCAAAGCATTGTGGGGATTTTAAGACCGCGGAGTCTACTCATGTGCAGCCTCGATATTTCTCCAAACGGAGTACGCCGGGCTCGGTAGAATTCCAAGTATGCTGGAGATTGGAACAGTACTTCGGCGGCACTCGATGACGTAGTATGCTTGAAATAGTGGCTCTGGAGCAGCTTTACTCGCGATTGAGAAACACCCACAGTCTATGCTCCACACACATGGATTAACATGGATTTAATACATTAATGTAGCCTTTGTTTCTGCTAAAAGAGGTGTCGACCAGCTCGGGCAACAAGAAAATCGGCGAAATCGAGTGTGACGATTAAAAAATTAATTAAAAACATCTAATTTTGACAATAAAAACCGACCAATAGTCTTGGTAGAGCATTTGCTTGGCACTTCCGGGTATTTCTCCACTGGTTGGGCCATGTTAACAATACCGTGTAACTGTCACGTTTGAAGGGACGAAACCGTGACATATTCACGTCTCCCAGCGTGGTAGATCGTCACATGTTCACGTCTTGCCGTGATACCGGGTTGAACATTCCATACAAGAGAACGGCTGATCTCTATCAGAGAGAGGATACATACAGACATCATTACAATACTTATCCTGAGGGAAGAATTGGTTTTGTGGCAGAATACATTTATAAAAAAAATAATTAAATAAGATAAATAAAATAAAAATATTAATATGAAGATAAAAAAGTTAAATGTAAATGTATAATAATAATAATAACAATACAGTCTCAACCAGTTTATCTGAGGCCTGTTAGCATGCGCGGCTAACAGATAGCTTCCAATGCATAAGATGAGATGCACTTTATTGATCCCAATCTGGGAAATGATTGCGTTGCAGCAGCATAAAAGACAAGGCATTGCACATGAGAGAAATGAAAAGAGTAGAAATAAACACTTCTAAAATGTAAACATCTCAAAACTGAAATAAAACAGCATTAAAAAAGAAGAAAATATACATTTTGAAATACCAATTTACCAAATATAAAGCAGGATATTATATCCATTAAGTGTATAAGGAATGGAATATTAAATTAAATATAAATGTAAAATGTACATTGTGCTAAAAACATCTCTGATTTGTAAAGAGCGAATTACGACAATTCAAACCAAGAAATACAAAAAGATATAACAAGGTGGTCTACCTTACCACTCGACCTAAACTCAAGAATTCAAATCGTTAAACTAAATGTTCTACCTAGATTTCTCTATCTATTCCAATCTTCACCAGTAGAGGGCCCCCAAGGTCCATTTAGAAATTGGGACAGACTGATATCCAGATTTGTTTGGGGGGGGGGGGGGGGGGGGGGAGAGAGGCCAAGAGTTAGGTCCAGAACTCTCCAGCTACCCAAAGAAAGAGGCGGTATGGGTTTGCTCAGATTGATGGAGTACTGCTGCTGCTCAGCTAAGACCCATTTACTGTTGCTGTGAAACGGAGTTTAGAGCAAAGTGGAAGCATATGGAAAATGAAGTAAACCAGATTCCAATTCTAAATATGAGTGGGGATTATAAACTATATAAGGAACTCAGAACTAAAATGGGTCCAATAACAGTGCAGTGGGTCAATAACAGTGCAGTGTTTAAAGTATTGAACATAGATAAGATTCAAAATGATGCAAATATAATAAAATGGGTAGCTTATGATGGAAACTTCAAACCTGCAAAATAAGATCAAGGTTTTAAACAATGGGTAGAGAAAGGAATAACAGCTTGGTGTGTTTTGGTTAAGGAAGGGGAGCTGGAGGGTTTTGATCATCTGAGAAGAAAACACACATTGGGAACACATGACTTCTATAGATACCTTCAACTAAGGGACTGTTACAAGAGGGGAGTCACATCAGATTCTTCCAAGGAGTTGAATAATATCATCCAAATTATAACTAAAGCATATCAGGAAAGAAACATAAGAATCATTTCAGCATTATATCAAGGATTTAGCAAAACATGACAAACACTCAACTAAATATATCGAGGTTAGATGGGAGGAAGAACTCCATATAGAAACACCAGATGAAGATTGGCATGATATGTGGAGGATCCATCATTCATCCACCAGTTCACGTGGAAGACTCTGATTCCTCTCTTCATAACACCAGAGGTGAAGAGTGAACAGATGCACAGTCCACAGAAGTGTGGTGACAATGTGGTTCTTTTGATGCTGACCATATTGTTTTTAAAGCAGGGCTTATTTTCTCAAACCAATAAACACAATTCACAAAACACACAAAGTGCAAAACACCTCATATATACTGCAAACTGAAGCACTGCACCCAAAACTACAGAAACACTTACCAAAACCAAAGTTCTCCACCAAATGGCACACACTTTATTTATAGTACAAGACACTTTGTCCAGCCAACTACACACCATAGTGCTTTGTCTAAAGCACACTCCTCTTTTATGGTGTTCTGTATTTAGAGAATTCTGCATATAAAGAGTTGAGGACGCTCTCCAGAGGCAGGAAGCCTCGATAGCCTCCCTGGCCACCGAGGCTCATCATGCAAACTCTACACATGACCAGACGCTAACCTATTTAGCTGCGCAGCTACAGCA